GAGGGGCCTGGTGGGCTACAGTTCATGGGGTCCCAAAGAGTCAGACATGACTGAGGCAACTGAGCACCCAAGATGAGAGGAGGCCGAAGGCTTTGTCCACCTCCCATCTCTGCCAGCGCTCCCTGTCCTCACAGTCTCTCAGAATCGAAGCTTCAGTTCTAGCACACAGGAGCCCGTGGGGCTAAGTCCGGGGCCCCAGCATGAGGATCACCACCCCCCCAAGTCAGAGTCCTGTTGTTTCCTGTCTGGGGTAACTGCTCCTTCCTTCCCTCTCCCCTGCCTCCTTGGAGAGGGGCAGGCACCACATCTGGTCCACAACCACAGTGGATCCTGTTCTACACAGATCCTCTGAGTACTCAGGCTGCTTGCTGGAAACACAGGCCCTGGGGCCCTTGGTGATCTCTCCAGCCAAGGAGACTGCGTGGCTGTGGGAGGCAGAGCAGAGGATCATCAGCACGAGTGTTGGAAATGCTGAGATCAGAAACGAGCGGCTCATGGAAGTGAAGACTTCAAGACTGATCGTAATCAGAGAAGCTGGGGCAGAACGGGGCCAGGTGTTTCTGAATTGTTGGAACACTTGTGAAAATGGCAGGAGAATAAAGGCCTCCTCTGACCCAGCCCTCCTGCGGGGAGGCGTATGAGGTATAGCGGAGGCTGATGGGGTGGGGGGAGGCATGAGCTCTGGTGTCAGACAGACCAGCCCCCTTTCTGGGTGTTTGTCTTGGGACTTGAGTCGTGACAGCCGCAGGAAGGCTGGGACAGCAGTTGTTGCTGCTCAGGAGAGCTGAGATCTCACTGTATGTCAAGCTCTTTAGGTGCTTTGTAGCCGCTGTCTTCCAACATCCCTGTGAGGTTGTTACTGTTGTTATCTCTGTTCTGTTTGGTTGGTTTTGGGTTTTTTGTCACTGTTCTTTGTTTTTTGGCCACGCCATGTGGCATGGGGGATCTTAGTTCCCCAATCAGGGATTGAACGCATGTTGCCTGCATTGGAAGCGCAGAGTCTTAACCACTGGACCACCAGGAAAGATCAGTTATCTCTATTTTATAGGTGAGGAATCTGATACATGCAAATTAGATGTCCATAGGTGGAACTAGTATCACTGTTCTCTTATCCACCCTCTCTCAACCTTCACTTCTTGCCAAAAGTCCCCCAAGCCATCACAGACTTTAGCAGGACCTGCTAAATGGGAATTTTATAGAGTGTGAGAAATAATGAATAATTCACATCAACTGTGTGGTGTACAGTGGGTGTTCAGTAACTGTAAATTTTTCTCCATGAGCATGACTCCTAATAAAATAATTTAAAAAAAAAAAAGGGAGCAAAGGGCATTAGGTACAAGGATATAACCTGGAAGCCAACTTCATGTCCAACAATAGGAAAAGGTTTAGCACTTTATGACTTAATATTATACAGCAGATAAAATATTTATAAAATAATATAAAGTAGAAAGTTTTATAATGTTAGATTAATAAAGAGATACAAAATAGTATGCATGTTGATTAAAACAATATAAAAAACAGACTACATAAAGTAAAGTAAAGGGTTTGGAAGAAAAATATAATAATTAAAAGTTGTTAGACAGCTTTGGAGTTGTTATGTTGTTGTTCAGTCGCTAAGTCAAGTCTGATTCTTTGCAACCCCATGAACTGCAGAACACCAGGCTTCCCTGTCATTCACTATTTCTCCGAGCTTACTCAAACTCAAATCCATTGAATCGATGATGCCATCCAACCATCTCATCCTCTGTCATCCCCTTCTCCTCCTACCTTCAGTCCTTCCCAGCATCAAGGTCTTTTCCAGTGAATCAGCTCTTCACATCAGGTGGCCAAAGGATTGGAACTTATGTACACACTTCCTATTGAAAAAACAACAGAAACAGAGGAGTGCTGGGAGCTACGAGTACCAGCCGCCATCAGCGTGGTCAGGATAACCTCAGTGATGTGCAAAGGACACCAGTCCTCTTTTTAAAAATTAATTAATTTTTGGCTTCATTGCCTCTCAGGCTTTCTCTTGTGGCAGCGAGTGGGGCCCACTCTTCACTGCCGTGTGTGGGCTTCTCGTTGTGGTGTGCAGACTTCAGTAGTTGCAGTGTGTGGGCTCAGTAGTTGTGGCACTTGGGCTTAGCTGTTCCAAAGCATGTGGTATCTTCCAAGACCAGGGTTCGAACCTGTGTCTCCTGCGTTGGCAGGCAGACTCTTAACCACGGACCACCAGGGAAGTTCTACACCAGTCCTTTTCAACACTCCAGCATCTGCAGAGTGGGCCCTGTCAATAGCATCATTTTGTTGTTGTTATACTAAAAATGTAACACATCTTTGGGAAGAATTGTGAAAAAAAAAAAACCCTTGGCTTCAGTAGACACACCACATGCTAGTCAACCTGCTGCACTGTGTAACTCCAGTAATGTTTCATGGTCCAGTGACTGGAAGTAGACTCCTAGTGAGGAACGGAAGCTTCGTTTAAAGGCCTTTTCTCTTCAGTAACGTGCAGATTTTCTCTAACTGGAAAAGAGCGCTGCTGTAGCACTTAACCTCCAAGGAGATTATTTCATAAAATATTGATTTTTTTTTACACATAAAGGAGATAGTTCATGAATAGAAAATGTAAGCATAAGCAAAAATTCTTCTAGTCTCTCAGTTTTATGAACACTAAAAATTATGTATCCACCTTACCAACCAAAGCTGCCATCTACTATACCTATTGGGAGGCAGACAAACCTAGAATATTATTCTTCCTTAGTGTTACAATTCCAAAAACAGATGTGCTGAGAAGCAACTAACCAGGACTGCACAGCCTTTTACTATAAGCAGTGAAGGCATATCTATAGACTTCATTGCAAATTATAGACTTTTTTTTTTTTTTGCATCTGTATTCCCAAGCTGCAACTGGGCCTTTTCCCAGAATCAAACTCATTTTACTGAGCTGTCTCAGGTCAATAAGTTTCCCTAGCTATTACTGTTTTATGAAAACCAGTAATGTCACATCACCCAAAAGGATATGGCAGTACTACATCCTATACCAGACTCCTCCCACCCTCTGTATTTTACCAGTAATCTACCATCATTCTTGACCTTACTCTGTAGCAGATAGCTATGTTGAAGTTAGACTAGCCTGGTGTGTAGAAGAACCATGGTCCTAGAATCTAAAATAGAAGCATATTAGTTCACCTGCCTGTCCTCTGCAGTGACAGTGGATTCTCAACCACTGGACCACCAGGGGGATCCTAGAATCCCATACTAAATGACTAAATACAGTATGTAATTTTATCTCAAGTTATGGGGGGAAAAATAGGTGCAATGCAAAGGCTATTAGTAATGATACTACTATGTTTTCTACAAATGAAACCAAACAGAGCTGAACTCTAGCAAGGATCAGTTCAGACCTTAGTTGACTTATTACCAACATCTATGAAATCAAGATGCTTCTTATAAAATGATGATTCTCACAGTCTGTTGGCCAGGCTACAGTTGTCATTGCATACTTATCCACGAACATCAAAAACACCAGTGTCCAGACTTGAAAAATGGGTGTCAGTTGCTGGCAATAAAATCCCCGAAGGAAGAGTGAAGCACTCTTTTAATCCCTAGGAACCAAATGTTTATGGGAAAGGGAGTGGGGGAAATGATAAATCACCACGTGCTTGGCAGTATTCTTGAAGTAGAAATCAAAAATAGGCAAGCCAAGAGTCCAGCCCCAAGAGCTTTCAGTACTTTCAGATTCTGTTAAGAAATGCCACATTGCCAGTGTCCTTGATGGTACAAAGGATGACATTGAGTGAATAGGCAGTGACAGGACTCTGAGTCAAGCAAGCATTCAGAAGCCTGGGACACTGAATGTGGCGATGACTTAGGAATGTTAGAAATCAGTTTGTTTGGCCAGTATTCTTCCTTTCTGTGTCTGCAAGAGAATGATAGATATTTTAAAAACCTAAGTCTAAGGACAGCTTCATAAAGTAGAAAATAAAAATTGTAAATGATAAGAAGGCATCATATCATAGTTTAGTTGGTAGCCTTTTTTTCTTTCTGAGTGCTGTATAATACAATGTTGCATCTTAGAATCAGAGGTCTTATACTTGGTACTATTTGGTACTTACTAAAGGCAGTTCTTGGGAATTCCCTAGCAGACCAGCAGTCAGTGGTTTGTACTCTGAACGCTCACTGCTGAGGGCCCAGGTTCAATCCCTGGTTGAGGAATTAAGACCCCACAAGCTGTATGGCTCAGCCAAAAAGAAAAAAAAAAAAAATAGTTCCTGAGAGTGGCAGGAAGTTCTATGTAGAAAGTGACATATCTGTTTCAGTGAAAAATATTACGGTGATTCCAGCCGTGTGGGGCCAGGGCCCAGCCCTGCCCACCTTGTCATCCATCAGAAAATGGAAAGGAGGGGGAGGGAGGAAGGAAGGAAAATATTCAATATAATTCTTGTTTCTCAAGATTGAAACTGATACATGTTCTAGGACTCTCATAGAATTTTTGCTAGTAATAGGAGTTGTGTGCTATCGCCCCCCACCTTACTCTGTGCCAGGCACTGGCTAAGTGCTTATCATGCATTTTCCCATTGGCTTCTAAAAACAATAATGTGAAAGATTTCCTGTTTTATAGAAAAAGAAACTGAGGTTAGGAAATCTTAAATAACTCTTCCAGAATCCTTCAGCAACTAACCAACAGAGCCAGGACTGGAATCCAGCTGACTCTTGATCGCTCTACTGGAATACTTTTATCTAAATTGTCTTAAAATCACAGACAATTAAACAAATGCAAAGCGAAATAGGAAAAGGAAGATGGGTGTAGAGGTTACACGGTAGTTGCAGACTTTTAGGTGTTCTCTGATTACACCAATGGTCAGCTCAGTCAGCCCTACATTTTCCAGATTATGGGTAGGAGGTCAGAGCAAAGAGAAGTAAGAATTCATAGTTATGTGTTCTGACTTTCTCCTCCCGTAAATTCTGCCAATCAACTGTAAAACTAATGATGTCTCTGTCTTCCACCTTTACTCTCCAAGCATTCTGCCTTTACTTCTGTGTGCTGAAATACCCATGGAGAGACTACAGAGAATTTGAAGTGCAGAACCAGAACATGGATATCCTAAACCGAAATCCCCAGACACCAGGACTTCAGAGCTAAAAAGGATCTCTCAGATGAGCATACACCAAAACCACGCAGGAAGCTTTTTCCAGATCTTTTGAGTGGAATCTCAAGGGAGTGGGTACAAGAACTAGATTCTCAGTGGTTCTCAAAATAGGCCTCCTGGACCAGCAGCATCAGCATCACCTGCATCACTTGTTAGACATGCAAATTCTTTGGCTCCGCCCCCACACCTCTGGACCAGGGACTCAGGATGGGCCAGGTGGTCTGTGCTGGACAGAGCCTTCTGTATGTAGTTCCTGAAGCCTGATAAAGTCTGAGAACCCCTGAACTAGAGCAAAAATGTGGGTAGAATTCTAAGCTTATTCCTCTTTTTTGGAAGTCCATCACAACTCTATTTCAAATTCAATAAAAAAAAAAAATATTTTCGTATTTTGTACTTGAAATCTCTTTTAGCATTTATAGTATTTCAAAGCGTGAGAATCCTAGCCCCAAAATCTGAACGTATGCCGGCGGGGAAGGATGAAGGGAAGGGCTAGTTAGGGAGTTTGAGATGGATATATATATTTATATGTCCATATACACAGCTGTGTTTAAAATGGATAACTAACAAGGTCCTATTGTAGAACACAGGGAACTCTGTTCAATGTTATGTGGCAGCCTGAATGGGAGGGGAGTTTGAGGAAGAATGGATGGATGCATGTATATGTATGGCTGAGTCCCTTGACTGTCCACATGAAACTGTCACAGCATTGTTAATTGGCTATGCTCCAATATAAAAATAAAAAAGTCTTTAAAAAAAATCTGAACCTATTCTCTCCTCCTTAGCAATGAACATTGACTAAACATTGACCGAAAACAGCCTTTATTAAGGTATTTGTCAGTAGCATTGTCTGCATTAAATTGTAGGGTATTTGATGACAGAAACCACCTTGTTTCAATTACTTCTGGAATATATTCACTTTGGTAATGCACAAATAGATAAAGGATATCACTTAAACTATTCTAGAAAATTCACTGGCACACTTCTTTTGCTGAATAGGTGTTTTGTTAATAGAGTTGTTAAGAATCACTTTTCCAGTGTATTAACTCTAGGAAAAAAAGTGACAAGTTGCTATAGCCAATAGGGAAAGAGGGAAGACACCTTTCTGGCTCCTGAATATCTTTTATAAATTCAATCTCTGAAACATTTCTTCCCCTATTAATATTTCGATATGATGTTTTGTCTGGGGAAGTGAAAATTTTGTTTAGGTCAGCAGTTCCCAAATGGGGTTCCTGAAAAATGTCAGGTTGTTTCTCAAAGCAAGGTTCTGTGGTAAATACATCTGGAGGATGGTGTATTTTATTTTTTTTTTTAATTAGGAAGGCTTCTCTGGCAGTCCAGTGTTTTAAGACTCCGTGTTTGCATTGCAGGGCGTACAGGTTTGATTGATCCCCAGTTGGAGAACTAAGATCCAGAAAGTCGCAAGGAAAAAAAATTAAATAGGTAGATTCCCTTCATGACTTCTTTAAGTTATTAGTATGGTAATACATACTGTGAATCTCCAGGGGGTATGCATTTGCCAGATTTTTTAATAAAAACTGGGGAGAAACAAATCCATAAAGCATTGTTTCCAAGGACCTTCCACATTGACACGGAAATATTTGTTATATAGAATTCTTTAAAATGGTAATTTATGCAGAGAAATTTTGCCTGTGCCTTCTTTTGATGATTACCTTAGTTTGCAAAATAATCCTACCAGCTGATTTTTGAGGTCCTGAAGCCACAGTGTAATCTATGGGTGTATGCACTGTGTCTCTGGGTGCATCTCTGCTTTAAGTAATTCTTTTCAGGTTTTATAAAAACACTGCTTCTGGAATATAATGTGTTTTAAGCAATTTAATAAATATAAAATGAACATGACAAATATTCAAATTAAGATCTTTGTTAAAATTTTTTTTATGTTGATAAAAGAGAAATCCTGTTGACATTTTGACCTTGTGATAGTTATTGCAATTATTAATGTCTTCTCAATGAATATTTATTGAATATAATGTTAAATAATGTTTTGCTCAATAATTAAGGCATTTAAAAGAAGTATTCACTTTCTATTGCTACATAATAAACATTTTCTCAGAGGCTTCAAACACACCCAGCTCATAGTTCTATAACAACACCCAACGTATCAACACATAGTTCTATAGATCCAAAGTCTAGCTAGGCACAGCTGAATTCTCTGCTCAGGGTTTCACAAAGCTGAAATCCAGGTATTGGCCAACGTGAGCACTTGTCTGGAGGCTGTGAGATTTCACTTTCAGATTTATTCAGGTCATTGGCAGAATCCAGTTTCTCGTGGCTGGATGACAAAGGCCCTTTTTTCTTGCCGATTGTTAGTAGGGTGTTGCTCTGTGGACCCCAAGGCTGGTTCCAGGTCTACGTGGCCCCCTCCACCTTCAAGCCAGTAAGGACATGTCCAGTCCTTCCTTGTGCTTTGAATCTCTGCCTGTTCTGACTCTAGCCAGAGAAAACTCTCTGCTTTTTATGATTCGATAGGTTAAATCAGGCCCACCAGGTAAGCTTCCTTTGTTAAAGGCAGCAGCTGTTATCTGACATAACTCATCATGGTGGTAACCCCACATTCATGGATTCCACCCACACCTGTAGGGGAGAGGGTCCCACAGAGATGAGAGTCACATGGAATCATCTTAGAATTCTACCTACACAAAGTATAAAGACACATTCCAGTTTTCCCCAAAGCTTAACAATTAGCCAGAAGCTAGATATACAAATATGAGCAGAATATAAACATTAAAATGACTGCTCCAATTAATGTCACAGCAGTTTATAGAAGTGTGACATCAGGACTTCCCTGGCAGTCCAGCGGTTAAGACTTCACTCTCCCAATGCAAGGAGCTCCGTTTCTATCCCTGGTCGGGGAAGATCCTATATGCCTTGTGGTGAGATTTAAAAAAAAAAAAAAAGACATCAGTGGAATCAACTGGTTAGAAAAGTCACTTTGAGGGCTTCTCCCAGGGCTCAGTGGTGCAGAATCCTCCTGCCAGGACAAGAGACATGAGTTCAATCCCTTATCTGGGAAGATCCCACGTGCCTTGGAGCAGCTAAGCCCATGCATCACAACTACTGAGCCTGTGCTCTAGAGCCTGGGAGCCACAGCTGCTGAGCCCACGTGCCGTCATTACGAAGGCCCAGCACCCTAGAGCCCGTGCTCCACAGTGAAGGAAGCCACCGAGATGGGAGACCTGTGCACTATGAGAGAGTAGCCACCATTTGCCACAACTCGAGAAAGCCCGTGGGCAGCAGTGAAGACCCAGCACAACCAAGAATGAAACTAGGAAATAATAAAAAAATAATGAATAAATGAATAAAAGGTCACTTAGAGGTTTGTTTTTTAAATTGTACTATCCCCTGAGGGGTACTAAGAGCAATGGCTGACATTTATTGAGTTATGAGCCCGAGTTCTGTGCTGTTTACCTGTACTATATTATTCCGTCTTTACAAAAATCCTGTAATTATTTCCATTTTACAGTTGAGGAAACAGAACTTAGAGAGGCAAACTCGCTGGCCAGAGACACCAGGACCAGTGTCAAGCCAATGGACCCCTCAGTATTCAGTGTAACAGATCTTTGTTAGCTGTGCCGGGTGCTTTGCTAGGTCCTTTTGAAACAAAGTGAAAGTGAAAGTCACTCATTCGTGTCTGACTCTTTGTGACCCCATGGACGTCCATGGAATTCTCCAGGCCAGAATACTGGAGAGGGTAGCCTTTCCCTTCTCCAGGGGATCTTCCCAACCCAGGACTGAACCCAGGTCTTCCGCATTGCAGGCGGGTTCTTTACCAGCTGAGCCACAGGGGAAGCTCAGGAATACTGGAGTGGGTAACCTATCCCTTCTCCAGCAGATCTTCCTGACACAGAAAGCGAACCAGGGTCCCCTGCATTGCAGGCAAATTCTTTACCAACTGAGCTTCAGGGAAACCAAAAGTAAGATACAATCCCTGCCCTCAGGACTTCACAATAAGAGGGAGCAGAGAGGAAATAAATCATTGCGGTAGGGTAGGAAAGGGCTTCCCAGGCGGCTGAGTTGGTAAAGAATTTGCCTGCAATACAGGAAACCCCGGTTCGGATTCTTGGGTTGAAAAGATCCCCTGGAGAAGGGAATGGCTCCTACTCCATTGTTCTGACCTGGAGAATTTCATGGACAGAATAGTCCAGGGGGTCACAAAGAGTCGGACACAACTAAGCGACTTTCACTTTCACTTTGGATTTATCCCGTATGTAGGGAATCTATTGACTCTTCTTCGTTTTAAAATTTCCTTATTTATTATTATCTTTTAAATATTTATTTATTTGGCCATACCAGGCCTTAGTTGCATCATGTGGAATCTGGTTCCCCGACCAGGATCAAAACTGGGCCCCTGCATTGGGAGTGCTGAGTCTTAGCCATGGGACCACCAAGGAAGTCCCCATTGACTATTTTAAGCTGGAGAATAATATGGACAGAGTTGTACTCCCCAAAAAGATAACTTTAACATTCAAGTGGAAGATGAGAAGACCAAGAAGAGAGCAAGGGTACCAGTTGTTCATAGAAGACCACATCATAGCCTAGATGAGTGATGTCAAGGGCCTGGGATGAGAGGCAGAGCAGACAGCGTGAAGGCACAGTGGATGGAGGAGACCTGCTGACCGATGAGACCTAGAGCATGAACAAGAGGAGATTTTGAATGACTTCTGGGTCTGATTCAGTTTGTTGGGATGATGTTACCACTGATTGCCATGGGGAGGGAGGGAAAATTCAGTATTGTCCAAATCAAGGTTGAATTGTCTTTATTACGTCCACATATGGAGAGACATCCAGAGAAATGCGCAGACCTAGCGATGTTGTGATGGACACATGTGTGATGTACCCCTGGGGCGACTCCCTCAGCAGATGATTCTAGGGAGTTGGGAGTAAAACCAGGAAGGAATAGTGAAAGAGATCATCTGTAGAGCAAATGACAAATGCCTAGAGAGCCAAAAGGTGGGGTAGCTAGAGGGAAAATGGAATCCAGATGAAGACAGTATCATGTTTGGCCATGTGGTTTTCCAGTGGTGCACTCAGCAGACAGCAATGAGGGGACTGTGCCCACAAGGGGAGCAGAGTGACCACCACAAAGCCTTCCCAGGGCACATTTACCTTGGTCACTTCCCTGTGGTCCTGACGTGCTTCCTCAGCCTCAGAAATCTGCTTTATGTTGCTCACTGTTGTTGTTGTTTAGTCGCTAAGTTGTGTCTGACTCTTTGGTGACCCCATGGACTGTAGCCCACCAGGCTTCTCTGTTCATGGGATTCTCCAGGCAGGAATACTGGAGTGGGTTGCCATTCTCTTCTCCAGGGGTTCTTCTCCACCCAGGGACTGAACCTGCATATCTTGCGTCTCCTACATTGGCAGGTG